ACCCAACAGCAAAAATCTGCCCCCAGAGAAATCAAAGAACTCATGTAAATGATTCCGAATAGTCTAAACTGTTGGAATATGGATGGGTTATACAGTCAAAGGTGAAATGTAGAGATGTGTGTGTGTAATTTTCCTCATGAGAACAACATCTAGAGAAACAAAGTGAATCTAACACCAGATGGCCAAGAAGTCGTAAACATGTACTTTCCCAAAGGTACAACTCATGGACACAGATTTTGTTATGGGAAGCAAGAGATATCACAAAGGTAAACAATAATACATCAACATCGTTAGGCTGAGAAAGAAAACCACGTGGGGGATGATGGACAGCAAGAGGCTGGGTTAATATACATCATACAGGCATTATCCAACCAACATAAGGTTAACACCCAGAAGATGGAGTATGGGAAGGGCCTAGAGAATCCTTTGATTAAGAATGTTTATAATTTAAGATGTGAGTGTGTGCGTATTCTGGCAGTGGATATTTAACCATGGAGTTAGGAGAAGGCTTCTAGTATGTTTATACAGTACTGCTTTTATAATGTAACTCCTAGATCTGGAAACATGGATCTGTAACTTCTTTTTTAACTTTCAACTGCAACAAGTTGGGATCCTATGCTTTTAGGATTGTTAAAGATGTAATCTCTCATGGCTGAACTGGATTAGTTCATCACAATGGATTTTACTTAGTTATCTTATTTTTCTTTATATGCATTAATAAACTATGCTTTTGGACTTTACAATGTGTCTTCTTGACTGAGGAAGACAGGATCCTGAAGATGAGAAGCTGAGCCAGTTGATGGTAAGAGATGGATCGCAGCTGCCAGCTTGTCCTGCAGATTCTGCTGGGTGTCAAAGAGCATCACTGCAACACCCGTCATCCACACACTGACATAAATATTTAGGTCCAAAACACACTGCAGAAGTAACCCACTTTGAGACCACTTTAACTGCCCTGACTCAATGCTAGGGAATTCTGGGAACTGTACTTTTGTGAGATATTTAGCTTTCTCTATCAGAAAGAGAGCTCTGGTGCTACAATAAACTATAATTCTCAGGATTCCCTAGCACTGAGCCAGGGCAATTAAAGCAGTCTCAAATTGTATTATTTCTGCAGTGTGTTTTGGACCTTAGTTAATTTAAAAACCTCACAGATCAAAAGCTAGATATGAATAAAACAATGGTTGCTTTAAAAAAGACATAAAAGGGCTTTTTGGAATGAGAATGGTTCATTCACCTCTATGCCCTGCACTGACCTGCTGGTCCAAAATGGTCTGCTGCACAAGCCGAGCATAGCTATCCAAGCGGACTCCCGAGTTGCTTCTGCTCCTCATCTCAATGGTACTCAAAATTGTTCCAGGAGAAAAGTGTACTCAGCTGCAGCAGATTTTAGCATTTGCTCTCATTCATCTCTCAGCAGGCTGAGCTGTAGCTCCTGCAAGCAGCAGGCATCCTTGTTCCAAAATAAATAGAGCAGCTGTCAACAAAAATGCATTTGGAAGTCTCTTGTATGTGGAAGAAAGCTCTTCTCTTCTATATATGCTCAACAGCTACTACTAAGCATACAATAACTGACTGGTTTATCATCATCATCATCATCATCATCATCCTTTATTGCAGTTAACAAAACGTAAGGCAAAAACAAAAGCATTAAAATACATTATAAAATACATTACACATTATCGAAACAAAATTACATGGCTTTGCGGTTATTAACAGCTAGTACAAAAAAAATTTTGCGCTACTTCTTCAGGTTAGTTTTTTGTCAGTCATCTAATAAAATTTTTAAAAACCAATCCCAAGATTTTCCTGGGTATTTTTTAAAAAGGGAGCTTATGGTGGGTTTATCATGTCTTTATACTATAGTTTTAAAAAAATGTGCTGGATATATATATATATACATGGGAAATAAGTTTTCTTTCCTATGTACATATCTCACCTTTATATTAGGAAAGATAGGTGATGTCTTCCCATTTCATCCTCACAACAATATTGCAAGGAAGGCGGAGGAGAGATATCATGATTAGCCCCAAGAAACTTCCTAAGTCTCATAGATGGCCAGTGGTTTGTATCACAATCTTAAAAGCTGGTTCTCCCAAGTCCTAATTAATGTTATTACTTACTGATGTAATTACCCATAACTACAGAAACTACTATGATTTATAAGCAGGCTTGGACATGGAAGACGAATTAGTAAAAATAGGAGGAAGAAATAGCAACAATCTGAGACAGGCTGACAACACAATGATACTTTTAGAAAACCTCAGAGACCTGGAACAACTACTAAGGAAGATCAAAAAAGAAGATCTGGCATGTGGCCTTCCTCTCTTCCTACTTCTCTCCACCTTTCCCA